AGCTCTTGGGCTTAGTCGATTCTCTTGCCTCAGCCTCCTGAGTAGCTGGGACTACAGGCGCCCGCCACAACACCCAGCTATTTTTTGTTGCAGTTTGGCCAGGGCTGGGCTTGAACCGACCACCCTCAGTATATGGGGCTGGTGCCCTACTCACTGAGCCACAGGTGCTGACCTTTTTTTGCTTTGTCTTAGAAGCGTCTCCCTTGGGCTCTCTGTCTGACAGGTAAGATAGCTGTATGTGTCTGCAGACACCAAATGCTTTCTGCAGTAGGAGGAGAATCTTAGCCTCAACTCTAAGTGCCCTCCCTCTCCCTGCCTAGGGTCTCTTTTAACACAGCTGAAGTATGCTAGTACACACATAAGATGCATGTGAGCACAGACACACAGATGCCCAACATGCCAGACACAGATACGAGGGCTCATACTCTGGTATCTGGGAAAGAGATTAATAGAAGTGGGGAAGAGGAAACATGGATAGGGAGGAATGAACAAAGAAGAATGAAGGGAGGAAGAGGAAACATTCTGTGAAGTAAGACAAGAGGCAAATTATAAGAAGAGAAGCAGAGCACCTGGAATTTGGCAGAAATGTTGTGTTGAGCAGATTGAGTCTGGGCCCAGCTCTGGACTTGTATGCTCTTGGGTAGGCTGGATGGGCCATATTCCCAGTCTCAGTTCCTCCCCCATTTGTAACTGTATTGACTCTTCCAGTGCTTCAGTGAACCAAAGGAAGGAATGACAGGAACCCAGGATGAGTCAGCTGAGCTTGTCCATAAAAAGTCAAGCAAATCACTCCCTGGAACTCTAAAATGCCAGAAGATCAAGACAGCCCCATTCCCTGCTCCATCCCTTAGCTAGTGATTCTCAAAACTTCAAGGTGACCAAAAATCACATTGGAACTTGTTGCAAATGCAGGTTCCCAGCAGGTCATTTTAAACAAATACTATGGCTGTTGCTAAGTATCCTAAAATTTTGAGAAACACTACTTTCCTCCTTCAATTCCCAACTGTACATTGTTAATAAAGAGGTTGGTTTATTTTTAAATTTTCTGTCTCATTGTTGAAACCCACACCTCCTCAACTCATTTTTTGAACCTCTCTCCCCTTACCCCAGGGTTGTTTCTGTCCTTTGGAAGCCAGCATGCCAATATAGCCATAGTGCCTGGCACATAGAAGGTATCAGTAACTCTTCATTTAATCAAAGATACAGATAAATAAGTAACTGACATGTGAGTGATGTGAATGAAAGCTCAGACAGTAAGAACAGAGAGAGATAGCAAAAGTCAAAGCCAACTGTCATGGGGTGGGAGGCAAATGTGTGTTTCTGAAGGCAAGGAAAGAGGTAAAATAAATGGAGATGTGGAGTTTCCTAATCTAGATGGTGTGGGTTAAGGAGGCCATCTCTGGCAGTCGCCTGTTGGTTCAGTTAAGACACTAATTCAGTTAGTTCCTTCTGCTTGTGAACACCTGCCTGCCCTTACTCTTCCTGGCACATAGCTACTTGTGTCATCCCCACTTGGTCTCCACTCACCCAGGCACACCTGGCCTAGGGACCAGGCATGGCAAACAAGAAATGACCCTGTGCTCAGAGAATCCACAGCCCGCAATTCTCTTCTCAGGAATGGTACCCAACTTTGCTTCCAGCTTATATCAAGACTTTGGAAAAATGAAGATGATATAGGAGGTAAACAGCTGACTCTGTGGATAATGTCAGGGTGATTTCTGAGCCTCAGACTAAGACTGCACAAGAATTGCCAGGTGTGTTGGCTCAGCACCTGTAGCTCAGTGGCTAGAGTGCCAGCCACATACACTGGAGCTGGTGGGTTCCATTCTAGCCCCGGCCTGCCAAACAATAATGACAACTACAACCAAAAAATAGCCAGGCGTTGTGGCAGGCATCTGTAGTCCCAGCTACTTGGAAGGCTGAGGCAAGAGAATTGCTTAAGCCCAAGAGCTGGAGGTTGCCGTGAGCTGTAATGCTACGGCATTCTACCCAGGGCGACATAGTGAGACTCTGTCTCAAAAAAAAAAAAAAAAAAAAAAGGCTTGGAGCCTACAGCTCAGTGGCTAGGGCACCAGCCACATACACCAGAGCTGGCAGGTTTGAACCCAGCCTGAGCCTGCCAAACAACAACAATTAAAAAAAAAAAATATCCAAGCATTGTGGCAGGTGCTTATAGTCCCAGCTACTTGGGAGGCTGAGGAAAGAGAATCACTTAAGCCCAAGAGTTTGAGGTTGCTGTGAGCTGTGATGCCACAGCACTCTAACGAAGGTAACATAGTGAGACTCTGTCTCAAAAAAAAAAAATTGCCAGGTGTGGTGGCTCACACTTGTGATTCTACCATTCTGGGAGGCCACGGTGGGTGGACTGCCTGAGCAAGAGGGAGATCCCACCTAAAAATAGCCAAGCACTGTGGTAAGTGCCCATAGTCTTGGCTACTTGGGAGGTTGAGGCCAGAGGATTACTCGTGCCCTAGAGTTTGAGGTTCCTGTGAGCTATGACGCCATGACACTTTTCCCATGGCAGCAAAGTGAGACTCTTTCTCAAAAAAAAAAAAGAAGACTACACAACAAAGCCTGGTAGGGTTCCTGGGACCTGGAAATTTCTGCTTTCTGTGAAATCTTGAAGTTCTGGCAATGGGGGGAGGAGGGGCTGGAACAGTTTCTCCTGCTTGATTCAAACTGACCCATGAGAAAGGTACCCATGGGTTGGAACTTTTTGACTGGAAATAAAAAGGGAAAGACCAAGCCAGTCAGGGAGCAGGCCATTGAAGCTGAATAAAAGCCTTTTTCCTAGGGGAGGTGGATGGGAGGCATTCTTAATGTAAGCTGCATGCAGGGGACAGCTATGGTGGGTATGGGGTCCTTTCTAGCCTTTTAGGGTACAGGCTCTTTCTTTTCTAGAAGACTGACCGCAATCATATTCAACATATTAAGATGTTTATACCTTAAATGTATTGCTTTAAAGAATCTGAATGGATTAAAAAATTCTTTAAATGTATAATACCATCAGGCTGAGCAAGTTAATGAAATGATTTTTATAAATTATTTCAGAAACTAACTGGCTATGAGGAAGTTATTTAAAGTGTACTGGCTGTGACTTCTCAGCAATCAGCATGCATAGAAATGAAATCCAACAAGTTTTATAAGTGTAATTAGACTATTTTGAATATTAAATTGAAAAGTGAATGAAACTCACAATATTGTTTTATCAACATTTATACACACACACACAAAGGTAACCCACATAGTTGACCACCTCCCTATACTGACCACTTCCTTAAGTTGGCCTAATTTTCACAGACTGGACATGCACCATATGTATATATCAGCATAGTAGGCCTCGTTTCCCCTTGGCTATCTCTGTATGTTGAACAATTTGTTTGTTTTGAGACAGTCTCACGCTGTTGCCCTGGGTAGAGCACCGTGGCATCATCATAGCTCAAAGCAACCATCTATTCTTGGGCTCCAGTGATCTTCTTGCCTCAGTTTTTCTATTTTTTTTTTTTTGAGACAGAGCCTCAAGCTGTCCCCTTGGGTAGAGTGCCATGGCATCACAGCTCACAGCAACCTCCCACTCCTGGGCTCAAGCGAGTCTCCTGCCTCAGCCTCCCAAGTAGCTGGAACCACAGGTACCTGCCACAATGCCTGGCTATTTTTTTTTTTTTTGGTTGCAGTGTCATTGTTGTTTTGGAGGGCCCGGGCTGGATTCGAACCTGCCACCTTAGGTGTATGTGGCTGGCACCTTAGCCACTTGAGCCACAGGTGCCGAGCCAGTTTTTCTATTTTTAGTAGAGACAGGATATCACTCTTGCTCAGGCTGGTCTCAATCTCTTGAGCTCAAGCAATCCACCCACTCGGTCTCCCAGAATGCTAGGATTACAGGCATGAGCCACTGCACCTGGCTTATATGCTGACCAATTTGTTACAGTGCATTGCATGGTCAACTTACAGAGCTTCTACTGTGTATGTATGCCAGGGTGCTAATAAAATATATACTCATTTTAATAAAGGAAAAAACTTTATTGAAATTGTAATACTCAGGCTTAGCACCCATAGCACACAGTGGTTACGGCGCCAGCCACATACATCAAGGGTGGCAGGTTTGAACCTGGCCCTGACCAGCTAAACAGCAATGACAACTGCAACAAAAAATAGCTGGGCATTGTGGTAGGCACCTGTAGTCCCAGCTACTTGGGAGGCTGAGGCAAGAGAATGGCTTAAGCCCAAGAGTTGGAGGTTGCCATGAGCTGTGACACCACAGCACTCTACCAAGAGTGACATAGTGAAACTCTATCTACAAAAAAAAAAAAACTGTAATACTTAGTTTATACCAATAACATTTGTTATTGTGTATAAAATATCTTATATACAAAGAGTAAAAACAAAGAAACAACCCCAAAACAAACCACCCAAGATGTCTGTGGCAATATCAAATGGGCTAACACACATGTGAATGAAGTCCCAGAAGGAAAGGGGAGAATAAATATTTGAAGAGATATGTGAAGAGACAGTCACTGAGAAGTTCCCAAATTAATGAAAGACGACAAACCACAAATCCAAGAAGCTCAGAGAACCTAAGCAGGATAAATGCAAAGAAAAACACCTAAGTTTATCATAGTCAAACTGCTGAAACTAATGATAAGAGTTTCTTGAAAACAGCCAGAAAGAAAAAAGTTACACAGTAAAGTAAGAAATAAAGCAGTCTGCTCATCAAAAACTTTGCCAGTCAGATGGTTCCTGAGGCCCAGCTGTTTTCCTGCCTTATAAGTCCACAAGATAATTCAGTAGTCTTTTAGAACATTCTTCCATTGGGGGCTATTAGGTTAGACAGTGCTCAGCTGAGCAGCTTCTCACAGGGTATGGGCTGTCTTCTCCACAGTTCCTAGCCACCCCCTCTCATATCACACCCAGTCTCATTCCTCTCTGACATATGGAAGGCCCCAAGCTGACCCCAGGCTTCATACCTCTCAAATTTATTGGCTTAGAGTTGGGAGGAGGCAGAGGAAGTGGAGGCTGGATATTTTAGTCAGTGACCGAAATTGTCCCTCAAAGGAGGACCCCGGATCTGACTATTGCCCAAATTCTTTACCATCTTGGAATGACCAAAGCCTGATCACTGCCATTGGCGGCAGCATCTGTGCAAGGGGGGAAGTGGTCAATAATTCAGGGGGTCTTGGCAATGGGGTCAAGAAGATTCATGTTTCCTCTCCCATAGCCCCTGTTCTAAGAGTTCCTGTACAGTCAGTCTCCTGTTGCCTAATTTTTCTGAAGTTAGGCAGGAGCCTTTCCTGCAGAAACCACAAGGAGGCAGCACAGTGCTTGTTTAAGGGCCTCAGCAGGCCTGGGTAGACAGGGATGCAGAATCAAAGGAAGGCAACTGCTGAAAGCTGGACATAGTTGAAGCCGGCAAGGGTTTGTCAGAGAAAGTGCTGGTTGAGCATGGACAGCAAGTGCCGCAAAGGGAGCCAAAGGACACAAGGGATTCCTGACCCATCCTCTGGACATGGAACTCCTGCAGGTGATTTGTGGTGACCAGAGTCTTCTCTCCTCCAGCCTATGACCACCTCCCTCTTTCTTGAACCACCCACCCTCAGCAAGATCCTCAGCTCTGCAGTGTAGAGATCGTCCCTGCAAATGACTCTGTAGGCAACTATATTTTAGGAATTCTACCAGGAGGGCATTCCTATAGACTTCCTCAAACGTATATCATATCCTCATTAATTCATTCAACACATATCTATTGGATACCTAATACTAGGCAATGTTCTAAGTATCAGACAGACAGTAGTAAATAAAATAGACTTTTTTTTTTTGTTTGAGACAGAGTCTCACTATGTCGCCCTGGGGAGAT